GTCTTATTGCTATGAGGTATTCCAGAGTTAAAGATGGGTAAGAGTATAGTGAAGACCTGTTCTTGTGTTACTGGAGAACTTTGATCAGCAAATGTCTTTTATAGGTACTTACAGAATTTGGAGCAAACCAAATTCACTCCATCTACATAAGAAAGATAAGGGATCCTTTACTCTCTTTCCTGAGGGTAACTGGCCTCTTTCTGTAGAAGTCTAATTTACCCTCAGCAAGAGGCCAAATTGGCCTTAATTGTGTTCTAATTATTTGCTTAAATAGCTCATCTTTATTTCTAGTTCTCCTATCACAACTTGGTATCTGTGGGTTGCTGCTTCTGAACTGCTGCCGAATTCCCACACATTTTATTAACCTTTTAAACTACTGCATAGAAACGGGTTTTTACATTCTTCCTGTAGTAATCTGTCATTATCTTTAAGGTCTTCTCAATGTAAGAAAAGTGTGTTTGCATTTACACTTGCTCAGTAAATCATCAGTCTTTCTGTTTGTTTGAAAACATGTAAGTACAACAGTTAGAAAATATGGAAGCAGCTACTCCCCCCACACACATGTTCCCCCCTCTTCCCCCTAGCCCTTCCCCCTAATACCCCCCCCCATAAAAGTTTGAATACAAATACTTGTGGGGACTCCTAAATACTTTTTTTTTTTGCTCCCGAAGAAATGAGGAAAACCATATTAGAGAACACTGGAAGGGGAAGATTATGAATGGGGGTGGGATCAGGGGCATCTAGAGAGTGGCCAAGGTATGAACCCATAAATCAATTTAAATCTCTCTGTTCTTGTTCAGTATCTGGTTCTCGTATCATATGAGTCTTACTCCAGAATGTTGTTCTGTCTTACTCAACCTTTTAAATTCCTGTCAACCCTGAGTATTCCAAGCTCTAGAGATAATTTGTTATAAAAGGGTCAGAGAAAAGGGCTGAGGGAGAGGAGTTGACAAAACCAAGGAGATGGGTCTTCTGTAATGCTTTTACAACCAATCCAAAGAGAAATGAAGACCTCCCCAATGAAAATCAAATAGATCCATTCCAGCGGCCCTCCAACCTGCCACCCAAATTGACCGTTTATATAGAGACTGGTGCTGAGACTCACGTGCAGCAGTGCCTACTTGAGGATGTCTGCCAATTTCTCCTCATAGTACAGGAAGTTCTCCTGAATGTCCTCCCAGGGCTGAAAGGCCTTGGATTCGCCCTCCTCTTGCTCTACAAAATTCTGCCAGATGTACTCGAAGTCCTGGGGCTTCATGATGCGGAGCCTGCAGCCAGCCTCTTTCAGCTTCTTCAGGGCTGCCTGGATCTCAGGCTCTTCCCACATGAAGAGGCGCCCCACCAGGATAAGCAGGCGCAGGTTCTTGGTCTGGCCAAGGGTTCGGATGATGCGGTCAGCGCAGGCTGCACAGGGGCTAGAGGAAACATACCAGGTGACGTTGTACTGCAAGGCTGGGTCAAAGGTTGGCAGGATGGTGTTGAAGAAGGCTTCCTCTGCATGAGCAGTGGCATGCTCATCCTCCAGATAGCCCCGCGATGCCTGTACTTGACCTCCCTTGTTCTGCACTTCCACCACATAGCAAAGGAAGGTCTTGTTCCGTCCAGAACTGTACTCCACGTTCCGGAACTGAAACTTGAAGTAGTTGACTGGCAGCCGTTCCCTGTGGGCCAAGGAGACAAAGGGATGGGAAAAAGAAGAATGTATTCTAGTTTCTGGCACTAACCTCAAGTAGGTAGTAATTCAGAGACATATTCATATTCTTGTTAAAGCAGGTTTGGCCCACACAAGCAGTGACAAAATGGCACGAAGGACTCAGAGAGCATAGGGGTCAAAAGAGCCTTAAGTACTGCTGGGTGTGACCCAAAAAAAAAAAACCAGAAAACATGACAGACTCTTTAGAAGTTTTATCTGAAGGAGAGAATGAATCTGGATTGAGAAGTGTATTCTCATCACCCAGTCTTTTAAAACAGGTCCACAAAACAGACTCCACCATATCTCCTGCATATGACTTATGCCTGCATTTCTAGTTTAGTGAATGTATAACCAGTCTTTATATAAAAGAATCACCTCAAACATCAGTGCCTGGACTCACACAAAATCAATGGGATGGACGGGAAGTGGGCAGGCATAGTATTTTATTTTGTTTGCGTGCCACATCAGTGGGTGCTCTGGACTTACTCCTGGTTCTTCTGTTAGGTCTTGGTCCAAATGATGCTCAGGGACCATACGTGGTTTTGGGGATCAAACAAGTGTCTGTTAGGTGCGAGGAAATCATCTAAATTTCTATACCATCTCTGACTCAGGCTGATAATCATCAAAACCAGGGCCTCAGATATACCAGATAAATCCTCTGCCATTGAAGTTTTTCCTGAGTCCTGGCATACTATATTTTTGAAGGTTAGTTGAGGGGTCAGGAAAATAGTACCAACTCGGGTTCAGTCCTGTACTAGATGGCCTCCTCAACACCAATGGAGGGACTCTTGACTCCTGGCTCCACAGGCCATGAGCAGCACTACAGCCTTATGTCATGCTGGTAGGCCCTTGCTAGGCCCTTGCACTGAGGGCCTATCTGGGCCAGGACAGAGAGTAAGTCCATCTGGAAAGTGTCCCCACTCAGGATGAAGAATCTTCCATCAAGAGCCTTGCTTCAGGTGTCAGAGAATTGACAGGTTTTTGAGTAAAGAAGGCAATAATATGCAAAGGGAATATGACTCAGAAATTAGAAAATGTAAAAATCTTGCCTTTTGCTACAACATGGATGGACCTGGACAGAATCAGACCAAGAAAAACAAGTCAAAAGGGAAAAGACAAATACTGGATAATCTCACTTACCTATACTATCTAAGAAAAGCACGGTACTAGAAAATGACTTATGAAAACCCTTTGATTCTGACTGAGAATACAAAGAGGTTCAAGAGAATGGACTGATTAGACTGTCATGAAGGGAGATTGGCACTGTGGTGGTAGACATGTGCCCCAAAACCCATTGACATTTTGTCAACCCATGTTAACTCCATAAAAGGAATAAAGATTCAAGAAAAATTGTCCATGAGAGACAAGTGTAATGTCTTTAGGCAGAGTGGTGCTGAGGATAACAGCCCTAGGTATCTAAGGACAGGGCTTCTTAAGCTTTTTCCATTCCTTTCCCATTTGTGCCCAAGAAATTTTTATGTGACCCCAGATTTACAGTTCTATAAAATAGATATAAGGATCAGCATTTATTGTGAATAAATAATAAATTTATTTAAAAATAAAAGTTTAAAATTTTTCATAGTCCCCGCATTCAATGACATGCCCCCATAGGAGAGATTTAAGAAGCTAGGTCTGTGAGTCCTGGAAGACACCACAGCGCCGGAGATCTCTCCTGCTCTGTACCAAGCCAGTTTCACTGGGGCACCCCAGATGGAGCAAATGCACTCTCTCCGCCTGCTCCAGATGGAATCCGGCTACCATGAGCTTCCATAAGCAACGCCCAGGTATGTGGATTCCAGGACTGTCTCCAGGCCGCACAGCGGCAGTAGAGGAGTCCGGCTGTCCCTCCCTGGCTCCCTCCCCGCTCAGCATCTGGCTGTCACACCCACAATCTGCCTCCGGCCGCCATCTCAGTGCACCAACAGCCCTTGTCCAGAAACTCCCAATCGAATCCCAAAATGGAGATGTCTCTGGAACCCAACCATTTACAGTATTAGAATTCCAGAAGTGTGCGGCTGCTCTTGCGGCTGCATGACCTCTCATGATATTTAAAGTGAGCAATGGAAAATAAATTATCTAGCGTCTGCCCCTGGAAGGCAGGCTTGAATGGTGGTGGGAAAATTTGAGCAAACTATAATACCCAGAAGTAGAGAGAGAGTATTGGGGAAATTGTCTGCCATAGAGGCAGGGTGAGAACAGATGTATGTGTGGGGGGGGGGGGCGGGGGGGCGGGGAGAATACTGGGGACACAGGTGGTGGAAAATATGCACTAGTGGAGGGATGGGTGTTTGGTCATTGTATGGCTGAATCTCAAACATGAAAGATGTGTAACTGTATCTCTTGGTGATTCAATTAAAAAAAAGAATCTAGGTCTGAACCAGAGAGATAGCACGGTGAGGGAGGTGTTTGTCTTACACTAGGCTGACCTGGATTTGATCCCTGGCACCATAAATGGTCTTCTAAGCACAGAGCCAGGAGGAAGACCTGAGCACAGACAGGTATGGCCCAAACTCCCAGCCCCCTCCCCTCCTTCCATACCTTGCCAAAGAAAAGTGCAAAACAACAGTAAAGAATCTAGGTCTTATCAGCACCAGGAGGATTACTCCATAACTTAGAGGCCAGCCGGGTATCCTAGAGGAAAGGGCAGTTCAGATAGAGAAGGGAGCACCAAATAAAGGATGTTTGGAGGATCCTCCCAGGAGGGGAGATGCATGTCGAAAGTAGACTATGGACTGAACATGTTTGCCACTCAATGCCTCTTTTGCAGACCACAACACCCAAAAGGAGAGAGAGAACACAGGGGATTGCCCTGCCACAGAGACAGGGGGGATGGGGGGATGGGGGTGGGAGGGATATTATCCATGGTGGTGGAAGATGGGCACTGGTGGAGGGATGGGTATCTGATCATTGTATAATTGAAACCAAAGCACAAAAAATTGTAAATCTACAACTTTAAAAAAAAAAAATAAAATAAAGGGGAAAAAAAAAAAAAGAATCTAGGTCTTATGAAACCGGGCTCAATGATGACTGTGTTCAGGGACTTCGAGGAGGAGATGAAAGATTTAGGAAATGAAGTCTGAAACAAGTGAGGTTTGGGAAAAATTGGATAGTAATGAGAGAACAAAGAGAGCTAAAGAGGGAATCTGAGTTGAAGGCTTTTTTTACATGTATGTACTTGTGTATCTATAGAGATGATTTGTGCAGGTTTGAGAGTCAAGAAGAGGAAGGATGTTATAATAGGCAAGAAAGAAGAATGTCAGAAGCTAGGATGAGTACAGGCTTAATGTTTTGTTTTGTTTTTTTTCAGAAGATACAATCTAGAGCCCAGGTTTGGCTCAGTGATTGAGCACCAACCTTGCAGATTATAAGGCCTTGAATTCAGTTCCCAGCATCAGTCCTCAAGCCAATTGTGATCCTGCGACACTCTGATTTGGAATCCCTGCTACCACAGGCCTGTGATCTCTACTGATCCCTGACATGCAAACAAGCATGTTAAGTCACCACAACTCATGTGTTTGAGGACCGCAACAAAGTCCCTGACCTCTAGTCTTCAGAACTACAATGAAAAGGCGGGGGTATAAAGATTATTGTTAATAGATCAAACATTAAGGCTGCTGCCTTTTGACCTGCATGCCAACAAATAGAAGAATTTACAGAGGGACCCATAATCAGCAGGCTGATGTTAAAGTGTTTATTGGAGACTTGAGCTGGGATACAAGCAAGAGAGATCTGACTGAAGATTTGTCTCAATTTGGGGAATTTATAGACTGTACAATTAATACAGATCCAGTCTCTGGAAGATCAAGAGGATTTGGATTTGTGCTTTTCAAAGATGCTGCCATATTGATAAAGTTTGGAACTCAAGCACAAACTGGATGTTTGTGTTCAAGTTCCAGTTTGGATGTTGATGTTAAAGTTCAAACTGGATATTGATGTTAAAGTTCAAGAACACAGATTGGATGGAAAATTGACAGACCCTCCAAAAGGTCAATGCTTTAAAGGGAAAAGAGCTCTCCCCAAAAGGTTTTTGTGGGTGGATTGAGCCCAGATATATATAAAGAACAAATTAAAGAATATTTTGCGCCTTTGGAAAGATTGAAAATACTGAGCTTCCCATGGATACAAAAATACAAAACGAGTGAAAAGAATTTTGTTGTATCACATACACAAATGAAGGGTTAGTTAAGAAATTATTAGTGGACACCATAAAATTGAGTCTGGGAAGTGTGAAATCAAAGTTCTACAACCCATAGAGGTATTTAGGCAGCAACAGCACCAACAAAAGGGCATGCTGCAGCTGGTGAATGAAGTGTCACTAGACGTTGCAGGTGAGGTCAGGGCCAAAACTGGAACCAAGAATTTAGTAATTATGATCAATAATATGGAAATTACAATAGTGCCTATGATGGTGATCAAAACTATAGTGGCTCTTCCAGACCCCAAAGTCATCTCAAGTTGTATCACCCTATTTAAAGTTTTAGAATCCCTGGAGCTATTTCATACTCTACTCCACTGATGTAGCAAGAGTAACACACCACATTCGATGGGATTAAGGTAGAAGGCAATTGATACTGATCAAAAAATAAATAAATAAATATTAGCACACAAGGCTTACTATACAACAACATGTTAGTAATCTCTTCTACAAGGACTTCGTGATCCAGGGTGAGATACAACAGTCTTCACACATTTTCCTCTAAGGAAACTTTTTTGCATCATTTCTAATGCATTATTCATAAGAACCAATACAAAATAAATTATTTATTAGGACCTGCTTTGGGGGTAGGCTTGGGTGGTTGTGGTAAAATTCAAAATCATAGTGATGGGAAGGAATAGTGGTGGTGGGATTGGTATTGGAGTATTGAAGGTAATAAGGTAGGTAAAGTAAAGGTAAAGGCTCTCCCATTGATCGTCGATTTGCTCGAGCGGGCCCAGTAACGTCTCCATTGGAGACTTTGTTGTTACTGTGTCTGGCATATCGAATACTCTCGGTAGCTTGCCGGGCTCTCCGAGAGGGGCGGAGGAATCGAACTCGGGTCGGCCATGTTGGCCGCTTGTAAGGCGAACGCCCTACCGCTGTGCTATTGCTCGCTGCTGATCGTTATTGTGAACAATTTTATAAAAATAAAATTGGAAAGAAAACTAGTGGCTATGGTGGATATGATTATACTTGGGTATAACTATGGGAACTATGGATATGGACAGGGATATGCAGACTACAGTAGCCCGCAGAACACTTACAGCAGGTCATCGCAAGGGGCAGGGGGTGGCAATCACCAAAATAATTACCAAACATACAAAATGAAAACATGGAGAAAGACTGGAGATGCTTAACGTTACCCCTCTTGCACTGAGATTACTAGTTGAGGAGAGGAATGAAGGAAAGGAGGAAAAGGGGATGTGATTGACTATGGTGAATGGTTATTGGTACTTTGATATAGGTGTGATATAACATGCATTTGAAGCATGATCTGTACTCCTAAAACATATATATACAGTGATGTCAACCAGTGTTGCCTCAATTAAAAAAATTTCTTGGGGTATCTTGGAAAAAAATTAATCATCTTGAAAGATTTCATCGAAGATAGGTCATCAACAGATCTAAGATGATTATTTTCTAAAGATTTTCTGCTGTACAGGACAACACTGACCAACTACTATAGTAGCCAATTAATTTTATTTGCTTTCACTTTGTTCTTTGCTATCTGTGTTATGACTCGGTGTGGATTTGTATCTATACAAATTTTATTTGTATGATTTCACATTAAACCTCAAATGTTTTCGTTACGTGAAAAAAAATCCATGTAAATGTAGGGGCCAGAGATACAACTCATTAACTTGCAAGCATAAGGCCTTTAGTTCAATTGCTGGTTTGTGTGCTCCAGATACAGTCTAGACAGATCTGCTCCTGGAGCCTGGAAACCCTCTATCTTTGATCCCTAACTCTGCAAACGGTCTCTCACTGCACCATAGTCAAACATATGTGTGCATTACAACTAAACACATGCAGCCTCTGGTGAGCACCACTAAAAGTTATGTAAGCAGCATGGCTTAAAATTTGGACTTCTAGCAGCTAGATGTGCATAACACTGCAACTATACTACAGTGCAGTGTACTCCTAAAACTACACTGCCGTCCTCCCATAGGACTCTACAGCCTGAATGTGGGTTGAACATCACAGCCAGAGTACAACCTCGGTCAGAGAAATAGTATAGAGATTAAGGTGCCTATGTTGCACACAGCTCACACTGTGGTCTCCTAAGCAACACCAGGAGTGATCCCTGAGCACAGTCAGGAAAGTAAGCCCTGAGCACCTTTAGGTGTGGCCCCGTAGCTCCTCTCCATCTTCCCCAAAAGGGCACTATCATCTTAAAGAAGTGCAACCTCAGCAAACACCATAGCTTGTAAGTGAGCACTGTTAGTGCTCTGGATAGTCATTTTTGTTGTGAAATAAAGTATAGCCATTTTAGTTGTTAGTAGCCGTTTTGCTAGTCTGTATAATTATGTAACTGAATGCTGACCTGGACATGAAGCCGAGGCCACAACTTGGGAAAGGGAACAGAATGAACAAAATTTACAATACTTGCAGATAATGCCAGACAGTCATTAAGAAGGAATCTCGTGGTCAGCCAGGAATGACATAGGGGCACCCATAGGTGGCACTAACCAGCTTACAGGTGAGTTATAGAGAAAGAACAATGTGGTTTTAGGGTACTTTAACCCTTCCCTGCAGTTGGTGGGGGTTGTACCCTGACCATTTCTCTATGGGGTGTGGCCCTGACCTAGCAAGGAAGGGGGAAAAACTAAAATGTAATCTCTTTGCCCGGGAAGTCAAGATGAACTCTCTGAACTCGGTTCTTGCTTTGATCTCTTTCCCAAGTGGTTATCCAACTCTTTGAGTGATAGGAAAATCCCTTGCCTCAAGACCTTGCCTTCTTAGGGACAAATAGCAGGGAGCTGATAGCCAGAGAGCTGAGTAAACGAGCTATTTCTTTGTGGCACTCCCATCCTCCTATCACCCAGATTTCTCTGTTCAAATTTCCCTTTCCCTTGCTCTCAAGATGGATGTGGTTGGGGATCTAGCTAGTAAACTTAGCTAAGTACCTTTCTTCCAGTTTAGACCCTCCCTTCCTCCTCCCCTTTCCTTCCTTCCTTCCTTCCTTCCTTCCTTCCTTCCTTCCTTCCTTCCTTCCTTTCCTCTTCCTTTTCCTCTTCTCTTCCTTTCTCTTTCTTCCTTTTTCTCTCCCTCCCTTCCTTCCTTCCTTCCTTCCTTCCTTCCTTCCTTCCTTCCTTCCTCTTTCTCTTTCTCTTTTTCTTTCTTCAATTATTTACTAACACCCATCCCAAATCCCACCAGCAGTGTTACCTTGCCTCCACCACTGTCCCTAGTTTTCCTCCCAGCCCCAGGCCTGCCCCCTTACCCAGCACAATATTGTTTATATTTGTTTGTTACAACAAAATGGTTAATGGAATTATTTTAAAAAAACAGTAAAATAAAATTTGTGAATATTGTCATATCTCATCATTTCTTACTAACACTATAGGAGACTGGGAGGGAAGCCCTGTCGATTGCCCTCTTCTTTTATTCCTGCTGAGATTAGCTCTCCCTAATTAAACTTACCCAGCAGACCCTTTTGAACTCCGCAAATCAGGATTGCTAAATAGTACTTTTACTTCCAAGAGAGACTTTCCCCAGCCTCCCCCCCCCCACACACACACACAAAGCACAGAGCTTACCCTCTTTAGCTTTAGTCTTTTTCTTTAATCAAAAACCTTTAGCTCTTCATGATGTGTTTTTTTACCCCTAGAACCTTTCCCTCCCCTACCACCCCACCACACATTCCAAATCTAATAGAGTCCTCTGTGTGGTTGATTCTCAGGTGAAACGATTATTCAGAGCTGCTTGATAGACTTAGGAGTGTCAAGCTACCTCTATATGTTCCCTTGGGTTTCCTTCTGAAGTATAACTTCAGCGTTGTTCATTACAGCCCCGTTGAGAGTATGATTTTAGCCTACCTTGCACTTACAAATCAGCTGCTTCTCTGAACCCCTCATAAGCTTTGACTTTTACTCCTCCTCTTTACAAGAAGAAAGGACCCAGGGAAAGAGGAAGGACGTTCAACTTTACAAATACCAGTTTCCAGAACCTCTAGCCCCACTGTCAGTGCTGCCCCTCAGCAAGGATCTAGAAATGAGGCGCCTGTGGAAGGGAAGTTGGGAAAGGTCTGGAACTCCCAGACCCACAGTTGGTCTTGCTCAGAAACTGAACTTGCTTGGCAGTCAGAGGGTTTCTTGGTCTTGTAGAAAGCATTATGAGGTCAAATGAGGTTCTCTGGGTTGCCTATCGACTGAAATGGCCATGCTCTGGAGGAAAACCAGCAGGAAACCAGGGGGACAGGTGGTAGAAATCTGAATTTTCCCAGGGAGCCAAACACAGCCACCTTGTGTAATATGACAAAATCAAAATCTCAGATACGTCTACAGTGCTATGCTCGCTAGTGGAAAGAAGGACATACTTCTCAGATAACCACGATGCCTTTCCCCCCTCTCTAGTAGCATAATGTGGTTGATGATTGGCTCTTTGACTTTCAGTCTCGGCAGATACCCCATGGGTCACGTGGGATGTGTGGGTTACAATTGGTGGTGCTCAGAAGGGAGATGCTAATGGTAGATTTCACCATCAGGACTCATACAAATCAGCAGCATTTTTCTGGCACCTCCCTTCAGACTCCTTTCCAAGCATGCACACTTCATCTGCTTGACTCAACTTATTTGTTATGACCATCCTTTAAGCAGGAAAGTAAGAACCTCATTATCTACAAAAACATGGAAACAGGTCTGCTTGATGTAGGCAGATATATGTCAAATAAGAAGTCAACTAAGTGCCAGTTATGTGTTTTTCTCATGTTTGCGTTAAAAAATATTTGCATTTCCTAGGAATAAAGCTACTCAGTAGAAAGCAGCAGTCTGGAGGGAAAGACGTTAATCTGAGATGAAACACGTGCTTCAATCTAATCAGGGACTAGAAAATCCACTCAAATCTAATTGGTGATGCTTTCCTTGCTCCATCTTTCAGGGATGTACTTCAAAGCAGCGAAATTACCCATGTCCCTTTTTTCAGATCACTTTCAAAGTGAGTGCTGTGGAGTGAGAATGGTCGAGAGTAGAGAGAAGTGGAGTCCTACAGCCTGACTTTCTGACCTGAGGCAAGGTTTGCTTCTGGACCAGCTTCTGTGCCAGATGAACCCAAGCGGAACCTGCCCCTTTGCCCTTGGAGGTGCCATCTTTCCATGGTGAAGGTTTTTTTCCTTTCACCAACCTTCAGTGGAGGCCAGGGTAGCTGGAATCTTTTTTACGCAATGAAACTTTCCCCATTCTCCCTATCCAAAGGGAGGGCAGGAAGGACTTCTGCCGTCCCTGTCAAAAGCACCTCACTCCTTGTCCATCCTTTCCTGAACCCCACCTCTTCTCTCTGACCAGGAAAATTCTGCATCTGACCAGGAAAATTCTGCTAGTAACTCAAGAATGCAGTGAAAAAAAAAAAATCCCTGTCTGTGCCAACCCCTCTGACAGCAGGGTCAGCTTTATGCAAGCACAGACACTACATAACTGGACACAAGGGACAGTCCAGCAGCGAGGAGTCCTGCATGGCAGACAGCCACCTCCAGTGCCCACGGCTTCCCTCTAATGGGAGCCCTCTTGGACTAGCATAATGGGGTCTTCATAGATTCTTTTTTTTTTTTTTTGGCTCATGCATGCCAGACGTGCACTCCACCATTAAGCCACATCCCCACACCACTTAATAAAGTTTGTATTTCTCTCTTCAGGAAACCCTTCCTGCAAATAGTTCCCAGCCCTAGTGTGGGGCAGAGAGAATCGCAGTCAATGTTCATTCACTCATTCACTGATTCATTTGCAAGTGTTTGCGTACCTACTAAGACTCTGAAAGGACTTCCTTAATGGATTTTAT